AATCGATATTTATAAACTATTCCCAAGAAAAAGAATGCCAGACAATGTAGCGACTATCGACTTATCAGTTTAATGAGTCACACGCTCAAAATTTTTATGAAAATATTGCATTGTCGCATATATAAACTTTGTGAGGGGATAACTGGTGATGAGCAGTTTGGTTTCCGAAACGGTATGGGTACTCGAGAAGCTCTTTTTTGCATGCGAATACTCTTACAAAAGAGCATTGAGTTTAGGAAAAATATTTACGTATGTTTTATAGATTTCGAAAAAGCCTTTGATAGAGTACCACATACATTATTATTTCAATGCTTAGACTCAGTTGGTCTGGACACGTATGACTTAGATTGCTCAAAAATCTTTACTACAATCAGACCGCTTGTGTTAAGGTGGACCAAGAGGTTTCAGCTAAAGTTTCTATTAAGCGTGGTGTCAGACAGGGATGTGTTATGTCACCGATGTTGTTTAATGCCTACACTGAACCAGTTTTTGAAATAGCGTTAAATAATCGCCGCGAAGGTGTTAAGATCGGTGGTGAAATTATTAATACATCAGATACGCCGATGACACCGCAATAATGGCAGAGAGTCTAGAAGATCTTCAAACCCTGTTGAATGCTGTAAACAACGAATGCACTGAAAAGGGCTTAACAATCAACGCAAAAAAAACAAAATGGATGGTGGTCGGAAAAATTAATATCGAAGACTCAGTACTAAGATTAGATAACAAAATCCTGGAAAGGGTGGAACACTTTAGATATCTGGGTAGCTGATTGACTGCATGGTTGAAAGTGACGAGGAAATTTCGACCAGAATAGAACTCGCACGGAAAAACTTTATTAACTGGCGTTCTGTATTATGCAGTAGAAGTCTGTCGTTGACCACACGTCTAAAGTACTTGTCCACTTTGTTCTATGGATGTGAAACCTGGACAACAAAAATAAAAAATCTTAACAAATTAGAAGCGTTTGAGTTATGGTGTTACCGTCGCATGCTCAGAATCCCGTGGACAGCACACATATCTAACGAACGTGTGCTAGAGACCGTGCACAAAGAGCGACAATTGATCAACATCATCAAAATGAGAAAGGTCCATCATCACATCATCATCACCAGCCGAATTTCACATCATGTTGATATAGGTCCCAACGTCTCCAGTTCTCTATCTTAGCTGCAATCCAGTCGCTAAGGACCCATGAAACGACCTAAATATCGCTTACTCCGATTAATCATTCAGGGAAAATCGAAGGAAAACGTTGGGTCGGAAGAAAACAACTGTTCTGGCTGCGTACCATTAGACAATGGAAAAGTCGAACGCTCGAGGAACTGTTTCATCTAGCTGCCGACCGAGAATCATTTCATCAGCTTGTTAATATAACGATAGCCAATGCTTGAATATAAGCACGGCACACAAAGAAGAAGAAGAATGAATCGATTCCTTGATATGAGCTAGTGTCTGTTATATTCTTTATTTTACTCCATATGTTTGTTGAAGATGTGTAATTATTTATTGTTTCTGCATATTTTATCAGGATCGTATTTTAGATCTTGTCGGTAATCAGTCTGGCTTTAGTACTGCTTCTTTTAAGATTAAGTTTTCTAGGTTTTTGTACCGTTTGTACTTTTAAAGAGCTTTCTTACTTTCCTTAATAGCTTCTTCAGATTCTTCATTCCACCAGGGAGTTACGTGTTACGAGTTAAGTGTGTGCTGCTACCATCATTTATTGCAAAGTTTAATGGTGTTTATGATCTGTTCAATCTTTTTTCCAGTGTGTGTAGTTTTAAAGTAACCCTAGTTACTATTGTGTCCATTTAGATCTCCCAAAATGAATTTCCAATTAGGAACCTGATTTATTAAAGTTACAAGGTCTTGTTTTTCTAGGTTATAATTTGGAGGTATATATATATATATATATATATATATATATATATATATATATATATATTTATTTATATATATATATATATATATATATATATACAGTATTGTGCGAATTAATGTGAACAGAGATCGAAATTCAGTTTTCATAAGTTGGCACACCTGCTGTGCCTATTCTGTCAACTGTTTTGTCAAAAAAACAACATAACCTCAAAACCTTATTAGTATATTGTTCAAAACACGTGCTTTGTGTTTTATATCATTATTATATTTTGTTGTATCTCAGGTTATGTGCAAGTTGGTGTTATTTTCATTGATTTAACTGTGCAATCAGGTTTAACTTTTTAATATGGATATCACTCCTAGGAAAAGAGAAAGGATCATAACACTTAGTGAGCATACACCAATGACTCAGAGGGACATTGCAAAGGAGTGTTGTGTAAGTTTGGGTGCAGTAAACAAAATAATTAAACAAAAAAAGGAAACAGGGTCAGTTGAAGTGCAGCGGAAAGGAAAATGTGGAAGAAAACGGAAGACTACTCCTCGAGATGAAGCCTTTCTTTTGCGCGATAGCAAACTTCATCCCAGAAAAACAAGTTATGACCTCCAGCAAGATTTAGAAAAGGCTGGAATAAAAATTCACGACTCAACGGTACGCAGACGTCTCTTAGAAGGAGGGAGAAGAGCCGTGAGACCGCAGAAGAAACAACTTCTGACAGCGCCTATGATGAAAAAAGACTAAATTGGCAAAAAAATACGCTCATTGGAGTGCAGAAGATTGGAGAAAAGTGTTATTTTCTGATGAGACCCACTTCCTAGTGCAGGACAGCGATCAAAATTCGTACGAAAGGCAGCCAATGAGTCACTTTCAGCTAGCCATATTAACCAACAGTTAAACATCCCACAAAAAAATGTTCTGGGGCTGTTTTTCATACTCAGGAACTGGCACTCTTATTCCTATTGAAGGTATGATGAACAGTGAAAAGTACAAAGCCATGCTAGGGCAACGCTTAGCTATAGAGCTTGACAAAGTACAGGCCGAAGGGACTGCAATTTTTCAACAAGATTCAGCTCCGTGCCATGTATCGAAGGTTATGATGAAATACTTCAAGGATAATAATATTACCCTTCTTGATTGGCCTGGGAATTCACCTGACCTTAATCCTATTGAAAATTTGTGGGCAATATGTAAGGCTAAACTGCAAAAATTTGACTGTACGACAAAAACAAAAATGGTGGAAGCAGTGATTAAGGTGTGGTTTAGAGATGAAGCAATCACAAACAATTGCAAAAAACTTGTGGATTCCATGCCTAGAAGACTCCAGGAAGTCATAAAAGTAAAAGGGGGACATATTAAATACTAATTAATGAAAAAATCTCATGTAAGTGTACCTAAATTTACCTTTGGCCTAAATAAATCATATTTACAAATTAATTCTGTTTGTTCACATTAATTCGCACAATACCATATATATATATATATATATATATATATATTATATATATATATATATATATATATATTATATATATATATATATATATAAAACTGTTTTTGATGGGTTGGAGTCAATATTTATATATAAATTACGGATCACTCAAAGAGTGGTGGGTTTTTCGGTCAAGTGGAGAAAAAAGACAAAGAGGGTGGCTACTTCATCTATTTATTGTAGACGCTTCGCTTTCTAATCAGAAAGCAACATCAGTTCATCTAAAAAAATACATGTAGCAGTCAATGATATTAAATGTGTAAAAAGCTTACTACAATGGACATTCTGAGATCATGTTGTATAAACAATTAATTGAAACTAGATACAGTTTACAAATTAACAAACTTATTACAGCAAAAAACATGGGGGTAATGGTACATGTATATAAAAAAGTTATGTAAAAAACTTTATATTATATATATATATATATATATATAATAAAAAATTAAATATATATAGAAGTATATAAAAGTATATATAAACAAATTAGTTTTTTGAAGACGACAAATAATTTGTGGTGTGTATTGATTGATTAATAGTTGTTTGTAACATGGAAAAACGAGTTCGAAAGCTATTTATATTCTTTCCTTTTTTTGCTTTGTTTCGGAGTTTCTTCCAAAACATTTAAACTAAGTCCGCTTCTGGCGATGACAAACCACAGACAATATCAAAAATATTATTGATTTTCTATTAATGTTAATAATAATATAATACGGAAGGATTATGAGCGATATTGTTAAAGGCAATAACATATTAAAAAAATCACTTAAATCGAACAACGGACTTGACAACAAATGACCCATTTTTAAGATGATGATGCGTTAATTTATTGTAAAAGTGTATTTGTCTGCTTACAATTTTGGAGTATAATAAAGTAACGAAATTAAAGCCTTTAGTTTGTAACCACCTTTTTAGCTATACAAAGAGGTATACTAAGTATTATTGTCATTTTCATAATAAGAATTAACGTCATTCTCTAAATTTTATAGACTAGAACGTGTGGTTTCGTTATCCCTCATACAAATGACACATTTACAAAACTCCCTTCTGTAACCTGCTCTTAATGAATCAATCTTTTTGTTTACTGATCCTTTTGTTTCATCAGCATCCACTTCTCTTAACTTTGCCAACAGTCTTTCATACGCTCTATCTTTCTTAACTTGATGACTGTACTCGCGACTGTTAATCTTCCACTCACACAGAAAACTACGATAGCGTTCTATAATTTCTAATTAAATTGTTATAGTCGGTTTTTTTAAATTGTTGTACCCACAACTTCAGATTTGACCGAATTGAGGTGCTTATTGAACGAGTTCGACAGACATATCAAGCTGAAACTGATTATTCCATCATTTTTGGGCGTTAACAGAGTTCGTAGAATAAAACTGTTGAGCAATAACGCAGTTTGTGGGCCGCTGAAGACAAATAGGCTTATGGTCTACAAGCTTATCTGACTGAAGATCTCTTTTTTAGAAAACACTGTAGGTGAAATCTAAACTGTCTACTTAACATTATTTTGTGCATAATCATATTCGAATCTCATTTTTTTTTGTTATTTCCAGTTATCTACATTGTACTAACTCCAACTAAAAACATATATTATTTTATATTTCGTCCAAATTTATTTTGCAGGTTTTGGGGTAAAATATTTGGTACACTCAGAGATTATTTGATATTAGAATGTGAATTAAAAGATGAAGAGTATATTAATAGAAATGAGGTAAGCTATTGTAATAAAAAATTTTAAATATTATTTAAAAAAAAATTGACAAAGTTTATTTGCATTGACTATTATTTGAGCTACTCATAAAATTCCAAAATTCGCAGTTCAAATTCTTGAACGTCTTCGTCGAACATCGAACTTTTAATAGGTCATTTTCTTGTCCAATTTATTCTACACATCTTGGCACGAAGATATTTATTTAAAAAAAGCATTCTCTATATAATTTAGAACATATATAAGGAAAAATCATTGGCAAAACACGAAACTCAGTAAAAAATAGATAAAGGTGGAAGGTAAAAGCAAATACATATTTCTAACGACTAATTGGTCATATCAGTACGGTGTGCTAAGTTAGAAACAGAAAATTAATTTGAAAAATGATCTACAGAAGCCATACGACCAATTATGGCAGTATATGTCAGAAGTCTCTGCGTTCTTTTTTTATAAGGTTTTTACCTCATAAATGTCTCAAATTTTACTACCTCCCTTTTATATAAGAAAAGAATATTTACATAATATCAGATGGGTCAATTTGACGCAACTTTTTCAAAACAAAACAAATAACTCAAACCGACCTCTTTCTTCATACCTTCATAAATTAGTCCATTTTTTATTTACACGATACTCGAAGTACCAACCTTAATTGGCAGTAACCTGACAATTAAGGCTGGCAGTGCTAGCTGGTTAAAATTCTTTATATGGTCATGATGAAACACTTCGAGCTATACGCCTATATTTTTTATCATTTTATATTTACTAAAGAGTTTCTTAATAGTTTATAATAAATTTACAAACTAGAAAACCATAACAATATCTTCACTTGCTTAAAATCGCTTTAATTGCTTCGTTGCCATAACAAAGACTCTCTTGTCCTTAATAGGACACTCACATCACGCGCTTCCTAATTATACACATTCTCGTCTTCTTATTCACATGGCGATGCTATCGCGTGCTATATTAGGACAATATCGCGACGCTCTCTAATAATATCAGACGTATCTTGTGCTCTTAGAATCACTTTTCCATGGTATCATATCACGCATTTTCGCATTACAAGTATTCTTTAGTCTTAGTTAAAACGCAGTCTACATATTCTCTCTCCTGTCCTTAGTAGGACACTCACATAACGCACTATCTATGTATACAAACGATTCTCTCTCAAGTCCGCAGTTGGATAACACATCACTCGCTATGTAAAATCACTCATCTCGCCTTAAACGCGGAAATACACCATTCAATTCGGTTGAACAATGTGGATGATTCAATTACATTTTTCAATCAAATTGAAAAGCATACGTATACACGCTTCAATTTATTCTTCATTCAATTCGGTTGAACAATGTGGATGATTCGAAACGTACGTACGGAACTTATTATATCACAAGTCAAAATGAAAAGATTCTAACTCGATGAAATAAACGGTTGAATCGAACACAATCGACAAAACTTGTATAGACGAGTCAATGTGGATGAATCATCCCAGTTGTACAACGAAGTTGAACGAAAGTAGAAATTATCTCAACTCATTTCAACGTTCAATTTTGTTGAACGCTTTTATTGAATTGCAAAATACATGGTTCATTTTGGTTGAATCATCCATATTGTTCAACCGAATTGAATGGTGTATTTCCGCCTTTAGTAAACATTTCAGTTCACTACTTATTAAACGTATAAACTCGACATAGCAAAGTGGTCAGTTAAACTTAAAATAAATTTCAAAAAAAGTGTTTGTAAAATTAACTGAGCTCTAAAAAAACAAAATAAAAACTCTCAATATAGGTACTACTACATCAACGTGAATTCAAGATTAATTAATCCAGATTCATTCATAACTAACCACTTAGAATTTTTTTCTCTTTTTATATCTGAGGAAAAGGAATATCCACAACAAGAATTATATAAAAATTATTTATATTTGAATAAATATTGATCATGTATTGTTCCTATCACTATCCCTATTAATGAACAAAACTCCAAGACTGAAAGGTAAATAGACCTGATGGGCATCCTAGATATTTATTGAAACGCATAATCGATTTGTCCCTAAATCTAATTTTATATATATTTAAAAAAATTAAAAAGGCCAATGCAAAAAGATTATCGGAACATCAAACAGTTATTAATGAACCATCATCATTCAAAATCGCTTTTACACCTACACAGTTATATCAATATAGATACAGGCTTGCTTCATAAATGTTAAAAAAACGTTTAAAAAAATAGCCAAAAAACATTTTTGAAACTAAGAACATACATAAAAAAGATATCAAATAAATCTGAATCTATATTAAAGTCAGAAAGCTAACTTAAAGTTAAAATAGAAGATCAAATAAAATATACAGGGTTGAATTAAAGTCTTTCTTTAATCAAGTCCATAAGTTTGAATATATTTAATTTTTATTATTTCCAAATTACCATTTGCAACGATCTTTTTAAGGTTTATGCTCAAGAAGCGCAACAAGAAGTACAACCAGTAGTGGATATTGATGAAGAAAACATTTTAGAGGAAAATAGGATTAGGAAAGCTTTAGACGAAATTGCAAAACAACAACAAATAGGTGGTGAAGAAGGAGGCAAGTATCCTCGGCCTTTGCCACCAATGCCTAAAATAATTTATGCTGAACCACCGGAACCTCCTTCAGAATTATCGGGGGTGGGACTTAATAAATTGGTAAAAAAGCTTTAATAATATTATATACATAACTTTATAAATAGTTTTTTGTTGTTTTTTTTTAAATATAAAATAATTTTTATAGCACTTTTTAACTGTTTATATAAACTTAAAGTAACTTTTTATTAATCGTGTATTTTTAGGTATATTATGTATGCAACGGAATAGGAGAACCTTGGGTTCAACTTCCAGATGTCACTCCAAAACAAGTTCGAACGGCACGACAAATTTATAAATCTTTTACTGGAAATTTGGAGTCGCCAATTTATACGTATCCACAATTTCCTGGCAATGAACGCGAATATTTACGGGCACAAATTGCAAGAATATCGGCAGGTACATTTAAATTTTGACTAAAATTCTATTTTTTGAATAATGGTAAGGCCAAACTTCTTCATTTAGAATTGAAAATATTACCTTTACTATTTCACCAATAAATTAAAAGGGATCTTACATTTATTATTTTTTTGATTTGTTTTATCGGAAAAAACTTCTTCGTTATCGTTCAATGTTAAACGTTTGATTACGTTTACTAATAGAAATATCGTCGGCTAGTCGGAATATAGTTTACCCTGCGTTGGTCGCATGGTGAGCGCAACGCTCACCATTTTACTTTTTTCTTAACATTTTTCACAATTTTACTCACATTGGCAACTGCGCTCATGTAATCCTTCCTACTACTATTGTGTATAGAATGTTTTACGCAGAATTGTGATCGAGCAACCGTCAGTCTATTCCAAGTATTGATTAAACGCAGATGTCGAGAAATGAGCGATTAGCTCACCCGCGACTAACGACGTGACGATTTTGGAAAGCTACAGAGCAATTTTTGTTGGGTTTTTTTATTGACTTTGTGTTTTAAATCATATAACTTTAAAATATTATTGTGTAATGGATCCTAAAGAAGAGGCCAGACTGTTAAAAATATATGAAGAATTGGAGGAAGAGGATTTGTTACTTGAACAGACTTCTTCTTCATGTACCATGTCCTTTCAGAACGTTGGTTACCATCATAGCTATTTTAATTTTATTCACTGCCACCCTAAATAGCATGCTTGTATCTACACCATACCAATCTCGCAAGTTCTTCAACCATGAGGTTCTTCTTCGTCCTGGACTGCGTTTGCCTGCTATTTTTCCTTGCATGATATTTTGTAGCAATCTATATTTGGGACCTCTCATTACATGTCCGAAATATTCCAGCTTTCTCTGCTTGATGCTTTTTATGATCTCAGTAGTCTTGCTGAGACGTTCAAGTATTGTGGAGTTACGAATCTTCTCCACCCAGGAAACTTTTAAAATTCTTCTATAGCACCACATTTCGAAAGCCTCAAGGCGATTTAGATCGATTTTATTCACAGTCCAGGACTCGACAGCATAAAGTAAGACCGAGAACACGTAGCAGCGAAGTAGGCGGATCCTTAATGCCAATTTTAGGTCTCTGTTACATAACACCTTGGACATCCTTCTAAAAGCAGCTCTAGCCTGCTCTATTCTGGATCTAATTTCGCCGTGATTTTCTGCATTACAATTTAATTGCTGTCCAAGGTAGACGATTTTATCAACTTGCTCAAGTTTGGTATTATTTACATATATAGACGGTTTTATATTCTGTTGTTTACTTATTACGAGTATTTTGGTTTTCCTTATGTTAAGATCCAGACCTGCCTCCCTACAACTCTCAACGACACTATCAAGTAGTGTTTGCAGATCTTCTTGACTAGAAGCTAGGAGTACTGTATCGTCCGCATATCGCAAATTATTGATGACTTCGCCGTTCACAAGTATTCCTTCTTGTTTTTCAGAAAGTGCTTTTCTGAAAATTCTTTCGGAGTAAACGTTAAAAAGCAGGGGTGACAAGAGGCATCCCTGCCGTACTCCTCTTTTAATATTGAGAGCTTGTGATTCCACACCATCTACTAAAACTGATGTTGTTTGATTCCAATATAAATTTGCAATTATTCGAACATCTCTGCCGTCCAAGCCAATGTCTTTTAGAGCTTCGATCAATATAGAGTGCTTAACACGATCAAATGCCTTTTGAAAGTCAATAAAACAACAGTATATGTCTACAGATATATCACGACATCTTTGAGCAAGTACGTTCATTCCAAACAGTGCCTCTCTCGTTCGAAATCCGTCACGGAAACCAAACTGAGTGTCATCCAGGTATTCCTCACATTTATTGTAGATACGACCATGTATTACCTTCAGAAAAATTTTCAATAAGTGGTTTAACAAACTGATGGTTCTATAATCAGCACAGGTTTTTGCTGTTGTCTTCTTAGGTAGAGCTATAAACAGTGAGTTAAACCAACCATTAGGTAGTTGTCCGCTGGTATAAATGGTATTGAAAAACGAAGTTATAGCCTCTAAAACATTGCTATTCCTTTATAAGCTTACAGACAGACCTTGAACAGACCCAAGAGCAAAATTTGGACGATGAAGAAAGCGACATCGATTTAGTAGAAGTCAGTTCTAATCGTGAGACCTACTCGGAGTTTTCGGCCGATGATACGACAAATACTATTTCAACGTTTTGGTCTGAAGATGGTCCCAAATATATCGGCAGAGACAAAAAAACCATTTGGAAAGTTCACCGTGAGCGAAAAACTAGCCGTATTCGACAGCACAATATTATTAGCAAACTACCGGGAGTGAAACATGCGGCAAAGGATGCTAAAACTCCATATGAAAGTTGGAACCTGTTCATAACAGATGATATCATTGAAGAAATTGTGACGTGCACAAATTTGTACCTAGAGAAAATTAGAGGCAACTATACACGCGAACGAGATGTTTTAGATACTGACTGTGACGAAATAAAAGCAGTGTTTGGATTGTTGTACATGGCAGGAGTTTTGAAATCCCGACACACCAACCTAAATGACCTATGGAGCAACGATTCTACAGCACCAGAGTTATTCAAAATGGTAATGCCCCTGAAAACGTTTCTATTTGTTGCTTCGAGCACTACGTTTTGATAATATTCACACAAGAGCTGAACGCAAATTAATTGATAAGCTAGCTCCAATAAGAAATATATTTGAGAAATTTATAGAAAGATGCCAAACCTGCTACACGCCTGGTGAGAACTGTACTATTGACGAAATGCTGGAGGGTTTCCGTGGAAGGTGCAGCTTCAGGCAATATATCCCGAGTAAACCAAACAAATACGGGATAAAAATATTTGCCTTGGCTGAGAGTCGTGTATTTTATACTGTGAAAATGGAGATTTACGCAGGAAAGCAGCCTGATGGTCCATTTTGTATTGACAACAGTCCAGCCAGTGTGGTGAAACGATTGTGTGAACCCATTATGAATTCAGGACGAAATTTAACCTGTGATAACTGGTTCACGTCAGTTCCTTTGGCCGAAGAATTAAAAAAGAAAAAAATAACTTTAGTTGGGACAATTAGAAAAGACAAACGTGAAATTCCTGAAATATTTGTTGCAACTAAAGAAAGGCCAATTCGTAGCAGTTTATTTGCTTTTGGTCGTGAATGTTTATTAGTTTCGTACGTCCCAAAAAAAATAAGAATGTCCTGCTTTTGTCAACCCTCCATGAATATGACGAAATTGACGAGGAAAGTGGTGAAGCTTGCAAACCAGCAGTAGTTACTTTTTACAATCAAACAAAATCGGAGTAGATTCAGTGGACCAACTGAAGAGTCTTTATTCAGTGGCAAGAATCACATGTAGGTGGCCATTGACTGTTTTTTTTACTATGCTAAACATCGCTGGAATAAATGGAAACATTATATTTAGGACAAATGTATTAGATTCCTGCCAACCAAGACGTGAGTATCTGAAAATTTTAGCCAGACAACTCATTACCCCACATATGCAAAAAAGAGCGGCCCAAAACTTGCCATTTCTGCTAACTTTGCAAATTAAAAAATATCTGAATCTTCCTTTGACACAGAAACGAGATGTTCCTGAGGAAAATCAAGCAGGTGCAAGGCCAAAATGCTCCTATTGCCCAAGAAAAAAAATCGGAAAACAGCGTCAAAATGCGCCAAGTGTTTCAGAGCAATTTGTAAAGAACATACAATCACCATTTGCACAGAGTGTGAACGCGACGAAGTTCCTGAATCTGAGTAATTTTTTTTATTATTCTAGTTGCTGTTTCAGAATTATGCTTATTTATGTAGATGTACCAAACTTTATATTTTATGTTTTATTCCTTTTTGTATTTTGTTAAAAATATTGCCTTTTTTAGCTTTGATAAATAAATCATTATATTTATGCCTTTTGTTTTTTTGACTCATAAAAAGTCAAAATAAGTCATATACATGACAAGTGAGCTTCACGCTCACCTGCGACTAATGGTGGTTCATTTAACCATGCGACCAACGCAGGGTTAAATCTAAAATTACCGTAAGTATATAGTTTAAAATTTTTTAATTCAGCAAAAACTGTAAGCATATCTCCACTCTTTTTTTTTACTTCAAAATAGCAAAACCTAAAAATATTTTTTTTTAAACGAGAGAAAATATCTTTTCTTTATTACACTTGTTATTGGTCGGGATATTAGTTCACTTATTAATTTATTTTCTCCTTCTTCCGTATTTTCTTCATCACTATCAACATATAACTCAATAATAAATTTATTTTCAACTTTTATGTGGAAGTTATGAAATCGCTTCTAATAACATTAGTACTCAAGATGTAATAGGCCAGCCTCTCTTAAAAAATGTGTTACCAGCACAAACAGTCACTTTTCAAACTACTCCAGAACAAAATGCGATTACTGAAACTGTAATATCTGCATCGCATGTACTTCTTAACATTTCTTTCCACAAATATTGCAAGAATCCAATACTTTGGTTTCAACTCAAGCTCTACATACACAAAATGTTTTAGTTTCTGCTCCGATTCTGACAACTGTCAATTTGTCTCCATTAGTTATTGAAAACTTAACTCCAGTACCGCCTTCTTGCGGTGTGCCAAACGAATTGGCAAACATACCTTCTCCAACTCGTATACAAGCTCAAGATATCTCTCAACCTGAAACTTTAAATGCTCTAAATATACGACAGGTTAATAAACTCTCTATTCAAGCTCAAAATATATTCACTTCCACTTTCTTACATTTGAATAAAATTCCAACACAAAAATCTATCGACTTATTATCAATTGCAACACCTTGTGAAGAAGGTGATGTACATGCCGATTTTTTGAAAATCATCTCTCCTCCGAATAAGTCCATACCTCCTCCACTAATACACGAAAATCAAATACTTCTCTCACAGCCTCGTACTAACACGGCTGTCATCAAAGTTCTCTCAAGACAAACTGTTCTTACTCATACCACCCTACAATCTAATTCATTAGATTCAGTCGAACCTGTCTTTTCTTCTGTTACCGTTGCCCTACCGTTCGTAAAGGGCCAAGTAACAACAGCCCCTGCAGTGCCCAACAATATTCTGTTACTGGAGGCTCAGTCTGTATTGCCGTCTCCTGATATGGTGAACGTTAATGTAACGTGCCCTACTCCGTTGTTTACTGTCTCTCAGGTTCAAACTTTTGCTAACCAAACCACGCACTCAGTGGCTTCTCATACTTTAAAAAGTTTTGCAAATATCGACAATATCTTGACCAGTGCCAATAACTTGAAAAGGTTACACATACTTTATTCTCAACTATGCTCGCTTCTGAACACTCACGGTTTCCAACTCTATAAAATATATTCAATTCTCGTGCCTTTTCAAATGAATGTAATATGGTCTCCACTTCAAAAGTTAATCTTGACTTTGTTAATAGCTTCTCTAAGTCCTAGGTATTAACAGGTCACCTTATCAAGACGATTTCTCTTTTAAGTTGCCTCTTTGTGAAGAGGCGCCTCCCTTAACAAAAAGAAAATTGTGTGCCTATGTTTCTCGAATGTATAACTCCTTAGGAAAACTCTTATCTTTTAGAGTACACTCTAAATCTTTCTTACAACGTCTCTGGTCATTGCCCTTAGACTGGGACAGTGATATACTGGATGACCTATTGATCTCGGATTGGAAATCATTATTGGATACATTCCAATCAATATATAAAATTCCATTTCCCAGATGCCTGACGCTTCCACTGCTTGTATCGGATATGCTACTACGACAAAGTAGGATTAAGTGGAACATCGCTACTGATCTTTAAAGATAGGTGATGTGGTAGTAATCAAAGATGAAGAGACTTCCCACTCCTCTGGCCTCTGACAAAAGTAATCGAATTGCTCCCAGGCAAGGATTCTCTTGCTCAAACAGGTGTATACACACCTAATTGCGAATACCTTTGGTATACAAAGAAAGCTAGGTTACCCCGTATATTTTTAACTGTTCCGTCGTCCAGTACTCGATGACAAAACGGATGTCATTTTTTAACGGAACGATATTTTTTACTGTATACTACATACGTCATCGACGAAAAAACACGTACACGATAAAACGGAACAGTAAAACGGAGATATGTGTGGACGGGGCGTTACTTGTATAAAAAATAAAAATTCAAAACGTTGAAGTTTTTTTATAATTATGAAATTATATACATTTACTGGCTTTCTGAAGGTCAAACTGTGAATCATCATTACTACTTTCGTGTTCTGGCTGAACTTTGTTAAAAAAAAATAAGAAGATGACTTGAATTCTGGAGCAGCAAAGCGTGGATTCGTGTATAAACACTATATGAAGCATCTTAATGATAGGGTAATGTTAGACATATTGCTTAATTGAAATCTATATTAAAGGCAAAATAGTTGTCTTTGAAGCTGAGTTCTTTGAAGCTTAAAGAAATCATGGCGGGAATTTTAAAGTAGCTGACTTAAATCACTTTGTAAAAGAATTATTATTAAGATCATTTATAAAATACTTATAAAATATCTAAGTATCTATATCTCTTGTCTATCTATTTATGCATTCCTAACACAAGCTATGGATGATTTTATCAACAAATAGCTGTAATACTAAACCAGACAAATGAATGAACAAAACATTTAATTTGTCTTCTTCGTCGATAGAAGCGGATCAATATGTTATACGACTAAACGACGTAGATTTTAAATTAGACAAAATAGCTATTCATAGACATCACACACCATGTGATTTATTCCCAAATATCTAATTAACAAATACAAAATTATTACTTTGCAGCAACACACATATCTCCATTGGGATATTATACCTTCGGAGCAGGTGAATTAGGTGAAGGAGCTGATGAAGAAGAAGAAATAGAAGAAGCAGCTGGTGAAGGGAAAACTACCTTTAGTAAAAATCCAAAATATGAAGCTCCTCCTTTGAAAGACTTATTAGATATGTCGTTATCATTTTGGGTCCATCACGCTCCATATATTTTACCGCAAGGTAAGATTTACTTTATACAGAGTGGATCAAACATCTGGAAACGCCCAGTTATCTCTTAAATGATGGTCCGAATTATACAAAAACAGGGATACACCTATTTTGCAATATTAATATTTGAAATTAGATGTTTATAACGTTGCCATATTTACCATTTTTCTTATATCATTAGTCACTTTGGTTTATTAAATACAGCACCCTATATATTGTATCTTAATAAAATCTCCATTACAACCGTAAACAATACTTTCGATTTAATTTAGCCAGGAATATCTTAAAAAGATAAAACCAACGCCTTGAAACGCCTAGTTGTCTCAATATTTTTTTATATTCATACTGATACTATGTAGAACTAAATTTTAACACAATATTTAAAAGTTAACTACATTGCTAAATTAATACCTACCTAACCTAGTGTTCAAACTGTTCTCTGTTGACGAATTCTCTAATTTGACAGTATCCTAAATAATAAGAGAATGCGTCTATTACATTTCTCCATGTTTGTCTAGAAATTAATGTGGATTCATTGATAATTCTTTACCCCAAACAGTTGCTGGTTTAGTTTTGTAAATTCTATTTGTCAAGTATCCCTAATGACAATAATATTTAGGATTTAAATCGGGTAAACGAGGAGGTCATTCAATACTACCTAATCTACCCTCCATCGTCCTGAAAATGTTGATCTAAATAACGACAAACGTTCTTCCAACAAACGGATTCTATAGGGTTTAAATAAATTATTATGAAATGCACGCAAGACTGAACAATAATCTACATCATATATTAATGCGGTTCTGCATTAAATCTAAAGTTTTTTAATATGCCATCTTTTATCTGTTCAGTTTTCTGAAAGCGCTTAACAATTTTTTGTACTATGGCCTTTTCAATATGAGGACTTCACTATAAGATATTTTTCCTGTTGCCGTAGCCTCTCGTCACTAAGACAGTAATTCACTATTTTTCGTTAAAAATCATCCTTATTGAAGAGCTTTTAAAAACACAAAACAATTATTAGCTTTAGTTATTCATACAATTTATTTTACACAAATTTTAAATAAACATAAAATAAACTTATTGTTAGTCTAAAAAATTAATTTCAAAATCACAGTATTCTATGCTTACTAAATTACTTCAAGAACTATTGGGCACTAAGAAGTTTTATTTATTTAAGACCTTCGTGACTAAATAAAATACTAAATGTTAAATATGGTTGAACTTGTACTGATGTTTAGATTCCAATAATAATACAATACACAGTGTTATATTTAAAAAATCAAATTGACTTATGATATCAGAAAAATGGTAAATCTGGCAACATTGCAAACAATAAATTTGAAATCTAAATATTACAGAATAGACGAATCCCGGTTTTTGTACAATTCGAACAATCCATTTAGGAGATAATTGTGAGTTTCCAGACTGTAGGTCCACTCTGTATCTCTGTACTTTTTTCCACTTTTTTTTTAATTTTATTTTATTTTAATGCCAATAGGAAGAATAACTTGGTGGAATCCAAATCCAATGCCCGAAGTAGGTGACGAGGAACTCGATGAAGAGTTAGGTGAAGAGGAGGAGGAAGGAGCGGAAGAAAAAATGAAATTGGATCGAATAGAACCAGAGACCGGACCACCTTTACTCATTCCAATTTCTGAGGACGCGTCTCTTGAAGCTGTACCGGCTTGGAGCGTTCGTTGTTCTTCTAACATTATGGAAGATTTTGCTCTGGCTATCGTGAGATCAAATATTTGGCCTGGTGCTTATTGTTTTTCAACACAAGGAAAGATGTTCCAAAATGTTTATTTCGGTAAGTAATTTTAATGATAGAACGTCCATGGATAGAAATAATAAAGAGATACGTCGATACGACGTATGTCGATATAGGCAAGAAAAGCTATTTGTTGACGTATAAAAATAATTATGAATTATTTTCTCAACGATAAAGATAATTCATTTTTTATCTCACTGATCTAATATTAACTGCAGATAGTCTTAATCAATTTGTTTTCAATACCATGTTATATTTATTATATAACATTTATTTCAATACCACGAAAAACTCACAAAACACACAGACAAAAAACAGTAGTAAATTATCTACCTACGTCGTCTTCCAATATATGACTAATCTCCGTTAGACAAGTGTCCCATAATTAATTGGACATTAGCTAATGGGTGATAGCTGACATCAAAATAAAGCGTTTGAGCTCAAATTGCTTAGGAAAAATGTTGCTAGTTTTCGTTCTACAGGGAGATTCATTAATATTTTTTTATATTATTTTTATGGATATATTGAAAACTATTCAACCGATTTAAGTGAAATTTGTATCTTGCTATTATTTAGTATGCTTAATAAGAAAATGATATTAGTTTTACCATTGACACTAGGTGGCGCCACCTACTGTAACATTGGTTCATTAATGGGGCCATAATTTTTTTGTCCGCCCTGTATAAACATTCTAGGAAAAAAACATGAAATAACATTCAATTCTACACAAAAAAGGTATTCTTGTTTCAAATAAAAAAGTACACCGTTTTCGAAATAAACGTATTTTGTTAATGATGCATGTCTCTATTTAATTTTTTGCAAAACAAGTATGCTTTGAACTTAATGACAACGTCAAGACGTAACTACGAATTTATTTATTATTAGTTGTCAAAGGTACCTACGAATTTATTTATTATTATTGTCAGTGCAGTGCGAGTCATTATTTGTCAAAGTGCTATTAAGTTTTTTATAAACCACTTAAGATAAAGGAAAAATGCCACATCATAGTGAATTTTCTAATGTAGAAATGCGCGATATGATCTGTTTGTATGCCCAGGAAAATTTTTGTTCTCGTAAAGCAGCTGAACTCTATTTCGAACTTTATCCCAATAGAAGGCAACCAAACCATAAAACTTTTAGATCATTGTTCGACAGATTAGGCGAAACAGGGTCATTTCATCCCAAAAACAGGAATGCTGGAAGGACCGAGAGTAATTGATGCGGATATGGAGGATGAAATTGTTGTGCGCGTTGCAGAAGATCCAGAAACCAGTACAAGGCTTGTTTCTGCGGCCACTGGTATAAGCAAATCTACGGTGTCAAGAATAATACTGACAGAAAATCTGTATCCGTATCGTTTTACTCCAGTACAGAATCTTTTACCACAGGATTTTCCAGCAAGGCTCCGATTTAGTCAGTTTATGATGGGGTGGCATTTAGACGATCCAATGTTTTATAATAAAATTTTATTTACCGATGAAGCCACATTTACTAGAAGGGGTGTATTTAACTGGCGCAATAGCCATACCTACGCGACAGAAAATCCTCATGCATTTCAAGAACATCATTTTCAACACGAGTTTTCCATAAATATCTGTGTGGCATATTTGGGGATTGTATTGTAGGACCATTCGAATTACCAACTAGGCTTGACGGAGTAACGTATCTAAATTTTTTGATAAAAGATTTACCAACTCTTTAGAAGACATACCTCTAAATTTGAGACGGAACTCTTGGTACATGCATGATGGTGCACCACCACATTATAGCCTAGAAGTTAGAAATTTATCTAGATGAAATTTATCCTCAAAGGTGGATTGGTAGAGGTAGTGTATACCCATGGCCAGCACGCAGTCTGAACTAATCCCCAGTACTTTCACTTGTGGGGCTACCTAACGTCTTCTTCTTCTACGGCACTGCAGCCCAAAATGAGCCTTGGCCTCCTTTATTTTTTGCCTCCACCCTTGTCTGTCTGGTGGCTGCTCTTCTCCATACACGGACTCCTAAAAGTGCTTGTGCGTCGCTGCTACTGTGTTCCCAGCGCTTTCTTGGCTTCCAACTGGTCTCTTTCCCTGCATTCTGGCGTTCAGTGCTCGTTTTGGTAGCCTATCCTCTCCCATTCGTATCACATGTCCGGCCCATTGCAATCTTTGTATTCTAATGAAGTCTGACAGGTGGTGTCCTTCTTATACAGTTGATTAGAGCTCGTTGTTATATCGAATTCTGAAGATTCCGTTTTCCCTCACAGGTCCAGTATTCTCCTCAGTACTTTTCTTTCGAATGTGTCGAGTTTGTTTTTGGATGTTTCTTTCAGGACCATGCTTCGCTGCCATAACATGCTACCTAACGTCATTTTTTATAAAAAAAAAATAAATAACCGTCAAGAGTTATGGCAAAATATTGTAGAGGGAGTTAACGTAATTAGGGCCCAAAGAAACTCATTATTAAAATAAGACAAAACTTACACAAAAGATTTATATTATGTAGTTTATCTAATGGTGCACATTTTGAACCTTATTGTAATTTTTTTTCGTTTCGTTTTGAATTATTCACTGTGTTAATTGTTTTATATTCACTTCATTGTTTAATTTAATTCTGATTTTTTAAAACTTTGTTACTGAGTCAAAGGTTTAATAAAAATAATTGTTTCAATCATATGCATTTTGTTTGCAAAAAGTTATCTACTGCTAATACATTTAATATTCACTTTTATTTAAGACCTTTTGAATATTGTTTGAATTTACATAAGTTTTTGTAAATTTTTTTTATTTTATGCACGTCTCTAAAAAATACGTTTATTTCGAAAACGGTGTACTTTTTTGATTTGAAACAAGAATACCTTTTTTGTGTAGAATTGAATGTTATTTCATGTTTTTTTCTAGAATGTTTATACAGGGCGGACAAAAAAATTATGGCCCCATTAATGAACCAATGTTATAGTAGGTGCGCCACCTAGTGTCATGGTAAAACTAATATCATTTTCATATTAAGCATACTAAATAATAGCAAGATACCAAATTTACTTAAATCGGTTGAATAGTTTTCAATATATCCCTATAAAAATAATATAAAAAAATATTAATGAATCACCCTGTAGAACGAAAACTAGCAACATTTTGCATAAGCAATTTGAGCTCAAACGCTTTATTTTGATGTCAGCTATCACCCATTAGCTAATGTCCAATTAATTATGGGACACCCTATATATTGCGTATTTAGCTTTCTTTGTATATAATTTTGTTGTGTTTGTTTTATCCTAAGGTTATGCACGGTATCGCCTTTTTAGCGTATGGCTAATATATGGATTAACCCTAGAAGGACCAAGGGTGGGTTAAAAACATTCCATTTTTATCCGATTTTCTAAATAACTTTGTTCCTAAAAAGCTCAAATAATTAGATACCATAAGCTCTATTAGATACCATAATCAGCATTTGTATAGTTTTATTCATTTCCTCATGCTTTTATAAAGACTTTACTTTGGACTATAAATAACCCCCCTTGGTTCATTATGTAACTGAGAGTTACCTAGACCGCTCGATAGTTTGCGGCTGACAACGTTTTAAATACGAGTAAACAGTTACGTCGAAATTATATTTTAAAGGATTTGAACTTCCTCTGTCGTGTTAGGTTGTCTTCTCGCGTTTCTATATTGTTTACCGCAGTTTAAAGCATTTTTCATATTTAGTGTATATCTATGTAATAAGAAAACCAAAAATGCATAAATATTTAACGCAGAAAGAATTAGAAGAAATGGTACCAAACCTCTATAGTTTTGAGGTTCGATTAGACATTAATTCCAGCAACAGTGACTCAGACGTGAGTTAAAACAACGACCATATTAAAGGGTTCAACGAAGACGACGACATTGAAAATTCAACTGAGGAGAGTTCCAGTTGCGATACAATTGATGAAAACTGTGACACGCCACATGTATATAAATTAAAGTCAGAGAGATTCTACTTAGACTACCCTATACGCCCTATGTGGCGATCTAGCTGTGCCAAACATTTTACCTGAGCAACCAGAAAGATACCATGAACAGACAAGCTCACCAATGAAGAAGTACTGCGAAGGATGAACACAACCGCGGATTTGGTCAACATTGTTAAGGGCCGTAAGCTGCAGTACTTGGGACATATAATGAGAAATCAAGACAGATACGAGCTACTTCGATGCATTTTCAAGGTAAAATTGAAGGAAAAAGGGCCCAGGACGAAGAAGAATATCCTGGCTTGCTAACCTGAGAGCACGGTATAGAAAGACCTCAACACAGCTAGTTTGTATAGCAACCAACAAAGTCATCATGGCCAGAATGTCGCCAACGTTTAGAACGGACAGGCACCCCAAGAAGAAGAACCAGGACTTCGACACGAAGGCAAAGTAGAAAATATATTGCAGTCGTTCCAAAAATTCTTTACATCCGGAAATACTGCAAAATCTTGTGCGACATATCAATGAAGAAGCTGAGTGTGCCAACGTGAGAAAAATAGATGATACCGAGATTTTGGTTTTATTTGATATTTTTAGTTTGATGGGAGCTAATGATAATACAAATTAAGATTGTCACTATTTGTGGTCTAAAAAATTCGAAAGATCATCTTGTATTGCCCCGGTTAATCGAAGCAGATTCCGAGAAGTGACAAAAATTATTAAATTCGAAGATAAAACCAGCACAGCTGAGAGAAAACAGGCAGATAAGTATACATCCTTACGTAAAATGTTTTATTTGCTAAATAATCGATTTTTAAGATATTTTACACCAGTATGAACGTCGTAATAGACGAAATGTTATCTATATTTCGAGAAAGATGCCTATTCAAAGTTTTCATGACCCCCTCTACATCTAAGACGACATCTACTTAGTTTAAATTATGCAGCAAAAATATCTTCCAATAAAAAGCACCCATTTTATTCTGAGATTATAGAGATGATAGATTATAGATACAATATAAAGACAAACCCTTTAGGGAAAGAATCAATTAAAAAGGATTTAATTGCAATGAATTCAAATTATCCATAACCACAAAATTAGACTTCC